AAAATGATTTCCAAAAAGTAAACAGCAAACCAGTTAACTTACATGGATATCTACTAATATGTTTTCTGAAGTCATGACAGGCATATGACATCTTCCTAAACTTGTGTCACTAAGACATCTTGTTATGTTGTCTGGTTCAATGAAGCCATTTAACATGAGTTTACTCGATACGATTAAGCCTTTGCTTGAAATGTATCCTCCTTCAGCAGAAATCATGAACAGTTCTGACATTTAATATTATCATGATTATTTTTTGCTGACACCTTTTCCCAAGAAGAGAGAGAGACAAAATAATTACAGCTCGCACAAGGTGCAGGGTGCAACATTCAATTTTATCATGGTTATTTTTTGCTGACACATTTTCCTAAGAAGAGAGAGGCAAACAATTACAAAAGGTGTATACAGTATGTTTAGAAGTAAAAGCTGGAACAAAATATTTTCTGACCACCTTCCAGAGACAGGGTGAATAGGTTAACTGATACCCATAGATTGAGAAAATTAGCAATGACATGCTGATTGAAACATCTGTCTGTGGCTGCTAAATTCCTTTCTGCCCAAATCATACAATAATAGGCACCATACCAAGACCAGGATTCTTTAACACCTCGCATTGACGAGAAATATTCTCTTTCTTCTACAAGTTCTTACCACATTCCCTGCCATCTTGTACAGAGCACAGTGCTTATCCAGTCCCTTCTCTCTAGCCAACCCATCCATCAGCTGTCTCCCAGAAAAGGAGTCTCTGCACACTTTCAGTCCCCTTCTATGGTGTCCAATCCCACAGCTCCGCTTTAACTCCAAAGCCAGTCCGCAAAAGCATACCTTTCAAATGTAAACTGTGTCGAAGCAGATAAGGTGATGCTTCAGGAAAAAAAGGCAACACCCCCTCCCCCCCTCCAACAGCTGCTATCCCTTGCAGGAAATGCAGGAGTTTCCAAACCAAATTTGGATCCTTTTCCCCCCTCGTGGCTATTCTCCCGGTGAAATGAAAAACAGAAACATCTGTCTCTTTGAACCTGCCTGCTGATTTCCAATAAAAACTCCTTGGCTTTACAGATATTAAATTGAAATGAGATTATGACCTCACTAGCTGATGCATTTCAGCATATCAGATGCTTTTCAGTAATGAAAAAAAAAAATATTGGCTAAATAAAATCAAATATACTTGAGAGTTTATGGCCACAAGCACTCCACAATAGAGAGAATGCTTTTCACGGACTGATTGATTACTGGATGTTTGATTGACTTGCATACAAAGAGGCATCCATACAGACGTGATCTATAAAAAGCGATCAATCTTGTTGTGTCACATGGATTTGTAGACAGACGGATCAGCCCTGAAACATAATATAGAGCACCATCAATTACAGCCAGGTCTGGTCAGATATCATGCGATCTCCTATTCACTACAGGGTTTCAGCGTTTCACTTGTCACAGCTGTGGTGTCACCTTCCTAAAAGCATTGTCAAGTAGTTCACGTTGAGACCTGCTTGCAGTTTATATATTTCCTGTGAGTCAGACAAGAACATTTCAGAATTGTTCCGCTGTTGCAACTCTTCACTCGTTTTCAACTGGAAGAACCTGTCCTTGCAGCTGGGCAGCTGTTTCTCTGCTTCACCATCCAGACAAAAGGGTTCATCATCAAAAACTGCCACCATTGTGCTGCAGCTTTGAATACAGCATGCATTTTGCTCACCCAGAAAGGGGCTTTAGCTGTTAAAGCTTCAGGACAATAAATGAATGAATGAATGAATGAATGAAGCAGATGTCTGAACCTTCACTGCTATGTTATTTATATTAATACTTAAATGGTGAGTCAGTCTCTAATCAGAGATGTGGTCTGGTTGCTCACCGACTGCCTTCTTTTAAAAATAAATAGCGCAATCCGAACAGCATTAGAGCAGGAAGTGCAGTGACAAGGGAGAAACTGGCTCCAGGGGGTTCTCTTCCCTGTGAGAATCAGCACCACTGGGCTCCCTGTGACATCACAACGTGCTTTTGTTGCCATAGATACAGACCTCCATCACTGAGAATCCCTCTCTTTCGTTGGTTTTCCTCTCCGGGAATCGGAGGGGCATCCAGAGGCACTGGCTCCTCTCTCACCATGCGCACCAGCCTCTGCAGTTCCTCTGGAGCCTGAAGACACAAGATGGGTATTTGTTTTTCAACCCCTTGAAAACCACTGGTATTTGCACAGAGCCACAAAATTGGATTGATTGTAAAATTGTGATCTGCAGACTGATAACTGTCGTCGCTGTTGCTCTGGGAGCAATGCAGAGCGATTTTCAAAGCTCTTCTCTCCATACCAGAACAAATCTAGCTAGAGATATATTTTACTCTGTTGGAGCCTCCGTAGTTAAGACAGATATGACTTGAGGATGAAATGTTCTAAATGGTCAATTCTTCATGAGGTCAGTGCCTGTGCATTGGGGTTAAAGGTCAGTCTGGCCACAGTCCTGCGCTCACCAGTTTCTGCAGGTCGTCACTGCTGCCAACGTGGACGCTGTTGAAAAAGATCTGAGGCGCTGTCCTGCCACCCGTCAGCTTCCGGATCCTCTGCGCCAGCGCGGCGTGCCTGCTCAGGTCCACCTCACAGAAGGGCAGGCCCAGCCCCCTCAGCCGAGACTTGGCTCGCTGGCAGTGTGGGCACCCCAGCGTGGTGTACACTGTCACTCGCCCTGCCAGCCCCCCAGCGCACTCCCCTGCCGCATCCATTTCCCCCGCTGCAAGCACAGACAGCCCTGCTCTGAAGTGAACAGCCTGGGGAGCCCTGAATGGCGGAGCGGTGGCTCTGTGGCTAAGGATCTGTGTCTGTGGCTGGGAGGTTGCTGGTTCAAATCCCGTGGCCGGCAGAGGAATCCTACCCGAGCAAGGCTCTTAACCCCAGCTGCTCCAGGGGTGCCGTATAAATGGCTGACCCTGCACTCAAACCCCAGACTTCTCCCCAACTTCTCTAACCCCTTCTTCTCTCATGGAGAGCAAGCTGGGGTATGTGAAAAGACAAATTCCTAATGCAAGAAATTGTATATGGCCAATAAAGTGGTCTTATCTAATGACTGCTGAGCAGGAGGATTTGACCTCTAACTCAACTACGAAATCAAAACATCATGGCAAGTACTATATCTCACAGTGCTGTACTCACTTTGTACTCTATCTTTTAATTGAGATTAATTTAATGTGTATATCTGTGTCTTTTGTATGCTCTCACTGTGTTTGTGTGGATCTTTCCCAGGTGTTCCGGTTTCCTCCCACAGTTCAAAGATACAGTTAACAGGCTTTGAGGAAAGCTGGCCCTGCTAGTGTGTGTGTCTATGTCTATGCATGCCCTGTGATGGACTGGTGTCTCATCCAGAGTGTATCCTGCTTTACGCCCACTGCTTGCCAGGTTAAGCTTCAGGTCCCCTATAACCCTGTTTTGGATAAAGCAGATAGGA